AGAGGACAGACAAGTGGCCAAGAGACACATGAATAAATGTTCAATATCACTAATCATCAGAGAGATGCAAATTAAAACTACCACTTCACACCTGCCAGAATGGTTATCAATAAATCAATAAACAAATGCTGATGAGTATATGGAGAGAAAGGAACCCTAGTACACTATTGATAGGAACGCAGACTGGTACAACCACTATGGAAAACGGTATGTAGTTTCCTCAAAATTAAATATGGAACTGCCATTTGACCCAGTGATCCCACTTCTAGGAATATGTACTAAGAAGCTCGAAACACCAATCAGAAAGAATATGTGAACCCCTATGTTCATAGCAGCATCATTTACAATAGCTAAGATCTGGAAACAACCCAACTGCCCACCAGTAGATGAATGGATAAAATAACTGTGGTGCATTTACACAATGAAATACTGTGTAGCTGTAAAAAAGAAGAATTTCTTACCCTTAGAGATAGCATCAAGGGACCTGGAGAGTATTATACTAAGTGAAATAAGCTAGTCAGAGAAAGACAAGTATCACATGATCTCACTTATGTGTGGAATCTAATGAACAAAATAAACTGACAAACAAAATAGAGCCAGAGTCATTGACATATGCAATAGACTGACGTATACCAGAGGGAATGAAGTGGGTGTGGGGGGTCGGGAAGAAATTAACCAAAGAACTTATATGCATACTAGAGGCCTGGTGCATGAATTCATGCACCAGTGGGGTCCCTTGGCCTGGCCTGTGGGATCAGGCCAAAACCGCTCTCCGACATCCCCCAAGGGGTCCCAGATTGCGAGAGGGCTCAGGCGAGGGACCGGCACCAGTGCATGATTGGGGCTGGGGAGGGATGCGGGAAGTTGGCCAGTTGGGGAGGGACTGCAAGAGGGCTCCAGGGCATATCCAGCCCATCTCACTCAGTCCCCATCAGCCGGACCCCCACAGCAAGCTAATCCACCAGTCGGAGCGTCTGCCCCATGGTGGTCAGTGTGCATCATAGCAACTGGTTGACAGATCGACTTTCTGCTCCCTGGTAGTCAGTGCACATCATAGTGAGCGGTTGAGTAGTCTTAGCATATCATTAGCATATTACACTTTGATTGGTTGAATGGATGACTGAATGACCAGACACTTAGCATATTAGGCTTTTATTATATAGGATATGCATAACACATGGACACAACTAATAGTGTGGTGAAGTCCTGGGGAGGGTGTCAATGGGGGGAAAAAGGGGATGTCTGTCATATTTTCAACAATAAAGTTACATTAATATATATATATATATATATATATATATATATATATATATATATTGATAATTCCCTGTAAAGATTTGTTTCTCCATTTTTTGAAGGAAAAATTAAGCCATAAATACATATGTTACCAACTTTAGAAAATAATAGACAACTTTACCTAATAAATTTGAAAATTTACATGAGAAGTAGAAGTTCTTAGAAAAAATACCATAACTGCATGACTATAGGAGAAACAGAAAACATAGACTCTTAGAACAAAACAGAAACTGAATTATCAATTTCAGTTATGTACACACACACACACACACACACACACACACACATCACAGGTCAAGATGAAGAAAGTTCTACCAAACTTTGAAAAGACAATGATTTACACAAATTCTTCTAAGGAATAAAAAGAGGAATACTCACAGACAAATTTTATGAGACTATGGCAATCTTAAATCCAAAATATGACAAGAGTATGTGAAGGGAAAATTGAAGAACAACCTCAGCAATACACATAGATGTAAAAAACCTAAAGATAATATTACTGAGTAGTAACTAACTGTGAACAGAAAAGATATAAAGATGGGTTTGTATCAGGAATACAAGGTTGGTTCAACATTGAAAATTGTAATATGTAATTTAACACATTAACACATGAAAAACTAAAAAACATGTCTTAAAACTCAAAACTTTAGTAAGTAGAATTGAAAGGGTATTTGCTAAAAACCTGTAAACATCAGAATTATTAATAAAAAAATATTAAAGCATTCTCATTGAGACCAGAAGTTGACAAGTACTAGTATACCTGCTATCACTACTTTAGTTCATACCATACTGAAGATTGAAGACAGGTTAACAAAAACAAAAAGAAATTAAGGGCATAAGAATTTAAAATGAAGAAACTGCCATTATTCACAGATTACCTGCTCACAGAATAAAATCCAAAGAAATCTAAAATGTAGTATTAGCAGGACAGCTTAGAAACGTTGCTGGATATAAAGTCAATGTATACAACTTAACATCATTTTTACATACAAACAACAAATAGAAAATATAGACAACATTTAACATAGCATCAAAATCAATATGCCTAGGAATTTATCTAACAGAAGATGTGCATGGGTTTTATAGAGAAAATTATAAAACATATCGAATGAGACCTGGCCAGTTGGACTTGGTGGTTAGAGCACCTGCCTGCAGACCAAAGGGCACATGCCCTAGTCAAGGGCCCGTACCTTGGTTGCATGTGGGAGGCAACCAATTGATGTGTTTCTCTCAGTTGTTGAGGTCTTAATCTTTCTCTCTCCTCCTCTGCCCTCCCTTTCACTCTCTCTAGAAAGTAACAGAAAAAATATCCACAGGTAAGGATTAATTTTAAAACCTAAATAAATGGAGATAAATCATATTTACAAAGAGAAAAACTGGTATATAAAATAAATAAATGAACAAATCAAAAGCCAATAGCTCTCTTGTTTTCTGGTAGAAATTGACAAGCCGACTCTAAACTTTATTTGGATGGCCAAAGGGCAAACAAGAAATTCTAAAGAACATAAGCAAGACATAGGTACTTGCCCTAACAGATATTCAGTGTTATAATAAAGTATTTTAATTAAAGATAGGCTGGGCATAAAGAAATGGAGATGGATGGAATAGAGCTCAAAATTAAACCCCTAGGCTCTCCCTCCTGGAGCAAGCCTGTGCCTTTCCCTTCCTGCCACACCTCTCCTCCTGCCCAGGTGCATTACTATTACCTTACTCACTCCTAAGCTCCAAGGGCCCTTCCTTTACCTCTATAACTTGTTTTCTAATCCCATTTCTTCTACAAATTACTTCTTCTATCTCTTATATTCCAAATAAATGTTCTCTTATAGTTTAAAAAATCAGAACCATAAATATACTATAATCTGATATAGTATATAACATTCAGAATAATGAACAAAGAGGGCTCATTTATTTAATAAATATCTATGACATCTGCTTTTCCATAGGTACTAAAATTAAATTTACTTCAATCTCAAAAATCAAGTTCAATTATATTATGGCCCTAAATATAAAAGGAAAATCTTTAAAAGACAATTTAAGAGTATATATATATGATTTTGTTTAAAACAAAATATCAAAAATATAAACTACAAATCTATGTACATAAAGAGCCAGGGTCAGTAACATCTGCAAAGACCAAGGCTTGACCCCACACCAGAAGTCAGTGCTGGGTTGCCAGGGCAACCCAGCATTGACTGCAGCCAGTGCGGTGCAGCGACCCAGCACTGATTGCCGAGGGGGCTGCAGATCAGGCCAGGAGAGAGGCCTGAAGAGAGAGAGGCAGGGTCTGATCTGCAGCCTCTGTGGCAGCTGTTAACCAGCTGTTGCCTCTCTCTTCCTCCGGGCTTCGCCAGCAGCCGGGCCTCTGTTTCTCTCCAGGCCTCCAGGGGGGCTGCTGATCAGCCACGCCTCTTTGATCAGGCCTATGGCTGTCAGGGGAAGGCAGTTAGGGGCAATCAGGCAGGCAGGTAGGTGAGCAGTTCGTAGCCAGCCGTCCCAGATTGCAAGAGGGGTGTCTGACCGCCGGTTTAGGCCTGATCCCATAGGGGCCTAAACCGTCAGCCAGACATCCCCCAAAGGGTCCCTGATTGGAGAGGGTACAGGCTGAACTGAGGGACTCCCCCCACCCCACCTGTGCATGAATTGGGGGCAAGATCAGGCCGGCAGGGGAGGGCAGTTAGGGGTGATCAGGCAGGCAGAGGCAGTTGAGGGCAAGAACAGGCCGACAGGGGAGAGCAGTTGGGTTGAGATCAGGCCGGCAGGGGATGGCAGTTAGGGGAGCTCAGACAGGCAGGCAGAGGCAGTTAGGGGCAATTAGGAAGGCAGGCAGAGGCAGTTAGGGGCGATCAGGCAGGTAGGCAGGTGAGCAGTTAGAAGCCAGTGGTCCCAGATTGCGAGAGGGATGTCTGACCACCAGTTTAGGGATGTCTGACCACAGGGATCAGGCCTAAACCGACGGTCATACATCCGCCATGGGGTCCCTGATTGGAGAGGGTGCAGGCTGGGCTGAGGGAACCCCATACCCCCGCCCCCCCTCCCCATGCACAAATTTCATGCACCGGGCCACTAATGTATGTACAAAAGACAACCTTTCTAAAAATGGGCAAAAGACTAGAGAGGAAATCCAAATGGCCATTATAAATATTAAAATATGCTCAATTTCTTTTTTTTTATTTTTTATTTTTTTTATTTATTGCTTAAAGTATTACAAAGGGTATTACATATGTGTCCATTTTATCCCCCCACCCTAGATAGTCCCCTAGCCTCCCCTATCCCCCAGTGTCTTATGTCCATTGGTTATGCTTATATGCATGCATACAAGTCCTTTAGTTGATCTCTTACCCCCCTACCTCCTGCCCCCCAACCCTCCCCGGCCTTCCCGCTGCAGTTTGACAATCTGTTTGAGGCAGCTCTGCCTCTGTATCTATTATTGTTCAAAAGTTTATAATGGTCTCTATTATCCATGAATGATTTCTTTAGTAATCAAAATAATTCAGATTAAAATATAAAGAAATAATATTTTATACCCAGAAGGTTAGCAAAATTTTTTTTTTAATTTGTCTATTCCAAGTGTGGAACAATGACCAACTTTACACACAATTGTTAGAAATGTAAATTAGTACAAACACTTTGGAAAGTAAAATAACACTATCTAGTAAATTCCTGGCTGTATTCTCTAAATGAACTCCAGTATATGTGTACTAGCAGTCAGATTTACTAAGATTCATAGCACTAACATAAAACTGAAACAATTCCAATGACCTTAAATGGATATAAAGTGTCGTTTACACAGTGGAATACATTACATTTCAGAAGAAAAAAATATTCCATGAACCACAGAAACTAAAATCAGCATGGATGAATCTCAGTAATACAATTTTGAGTTTTAAAAAGTCAGAATTACATACACAATTCTGTGCATAAAAAGTTGAAAATAGGGATATATGATACAACTATAAAGAAAAGCCAATAAATTATAAGCAAAATTGGTTCTCCAATGAGGGGTGAGAATGAACCATGAAGTGGTATATCATTGGGCAGAGGCCTTTAAGGGCCTCAAATGGCACTGACAATTTCTATTTCTTACACTAAGAAGTAGGTTTATGGGTTTTTTGTTCTAATACTATTTAAACTACACATGCATGCTAATATATATTTATGTGTGTGAGAGTTATTTAATAATAATTAATTTAAAATAATATATATTTAATACTATGATTCTACATCAAATTTTTTTTCTCAGAAAACTGAACAAGGATATATATAAAACATGGGAAGAAGTAGTGATAGTTGAGTGGGGAGTGATATTGACAGAGATGTTTATAAAGACCCTGTTTCTTTTCTGAACTTCAGTTTTCCATTTTATCTTAATGCTTCCTATCTGTATGAAAATCCTTCCTATGCCACAAAGATAAACTCATAGTATGTGCATGTTTTCTAGCTTCTGACCTGTGTTTTTGCTTAAGATCATCATCTTCCAGTTACCCAGATTCCTCTGCCTCTCACCTTTTTCTGTGAGTTTCCCATTTATGTCAGCTTTCTCTCCAGATATTCCATTTATAGCTATATCATAACTAGCCTACTAATTATTTATTTATATAAGTGTATAACACCCTAGTATCTTGCCAGTACCTTGTTTAAAGTACAATTTCAAAATATGTTGATTAAAGGGAAAATAAACTGACCATTAAGAAAAAAATTAGGCATTTAGAGGTATACTACTAGTAGCAGCAGTAGCTAACATCTATTGAGTTCATAATATGAGGTAGGAACTGTTCAAAGAATTTTAAAGTGTTACCCCATTTTACATATGATGAAACAAAAGCACAGAGAGGTTAGTAACTTTCCCCAATTTTCCTGCATGTGTCAGGATTTCAACCTGGTACATCAGTTACAGCTATCTGTCCAGCTTAAAAGTTTATCAGATTAGGAAAATGTTTTTTTAAAAGACTGAGAGAGGCTTATGAAACTGGGAAGAAACTGTATTCAGAGAATAGATAAGTGAGTTATTAGAAAGAAGGGGGCAAAATGTTAAAGGAGAGACAGTTATGAATAATAAATTGGGAGAACACCCTAAAAGGCCCTGAGCTTCTGAGAACATGCCAACAAGGAAAAGTGATGGGGTGACACAAACAGAGCTGTACCCTGCAAAGGTTTTGTTTGCCTAATTCTTCACCCACCTGAGCACAAGTCTTTTGCCAGCTCTTTCTTCACCATCCAGGGCTCTTTTCCTTGTTCCAACAATAATATCACACTTGGCTTAGAGAAACAAAGTCCTGCATATATAAAAAGAAACAGAATTTGGTCATGCTGTGGATATCCCAGAACTCACATCCAATCCTTTGTTCATCAGGGAAGAGACATGTATTCAAAGCATAGGGAAAATGAAGCTTCCAACATAGGTTAATAATAGACCTGTCCACTGCCAACTCCACAAATATTTATAAATCATTAGTTGGTACAAGCAGCACACATTCAACCAAGCACTGCAGATGCTATCCAAAAAATCATAATGGTGGTAGCAAAGAGCCCCTTATGAATAGAAGCTTAATTCTTACCCAGTGATACCAAGATCCTGTAGTTCTCCAACATCACATTACTGTACAGATGCCTTTGAGAAGAATTTAGACAATCCCACTCCTCTTGGGAGAAGTCTACAGCCACATCCCCAAAGGTCACCAACTCCTGGAGTGAAATAAGTGAAAGTAAAATAACCTCATCTCTTACCACACTTAACTCATTCATTTTGCCCCAGGCACAATGGGGTCTCCCTGATATTACAACCTCAAATATGTAAAGCATGATCCCCCTTAGGGCTTTTGTACTTCTCGGATCATTCTGTATAAAAATATCAATGCTCATGCCTCAGTTCCCTATTCACGAACCCTCATTATTTTTCTTGATAGCACTTAATTTTTTTGTTATTTATTGTCTGTCCCTCACCTCCACTACAATATAAGCTCCATGAGGGCAAAGCATGTTTTTGTTTCAGCCACTGCTGTATTCCTGGGTACAGAACAGTATCTGGCACAGGTGAGGTATTCAAACATGCATTGAATAAACTGAATAAATGAATGGTTTGAAAAGTTCAAGAACCTGTAAGAGGGTTAAAAGTGGGATCAGAAAGTATATACTATATCTCTAAAAAATGTGGTAGACCACATTAAAATTCAAGTACTTCAATCAAGAGAACCTTACATTTTATGTAAAGGAATAGATGTTCCACTCATAATACTGCTTCTGCCTAAATAGGTTAGGCAAAGTTCTTAAAAACTTGCAAGTCATGTTGTGATTCCAGATTTCTATAATGTGATCACTTGCTGATGAAATTAATATAATGTGTGTGTGTGTGTGTGTGTGTGTGTAAAATATATATATATATTTTTTTACAAAATTGAAAGAGGTACATCTGTCATGGCAAGAAAAGACTTCATTATTGGTCATTTGAAATAATTTTGTCATAGTTAAAGAAACTCTCTCTGCCAAATAAAAACTCTTAAAGTGTTTTTCACCACTCAGTAACTTTTATTCTTAATTATATGAAGTAGTTTGTGAATTCTTCCCTCTCTGTTCTGCCAGTAACATATCTCATATGTTGCAGAAACATTCCTGTTAAGAGTTTGGTTCATATGGTATATATGCTTTCAAAAAATGTCTTTTTTAGTTTATATAAATACAGGGTGTTCCAAAGCAATATATACACACTTTGAAAGATTATAAAGTCATTTTCAAACTTTAAAAGGATCTACAGAAATGAATAATTTTTTTGTCCTATGCCTGTTTTGAAACTGATAACTGTTCTGGTCCAGGCACTGCTGATAACATGAAACAATGGAATTACAAACATATGAATCATTTTATTCATTATTTATGCAACAGAAAGACACCTAGTTTTATGCCTCATGAAGTCAGACTATATCAATCACACTAACCCTCATTTCAGTTATCTACCAATTACTGGTAGATACCAAGTTTCTGTCATTCCTTGAACATATGGCTCACTGTCACTCTTCCCAATGCTATTCCTGTTATAATCTTTGGTCATTTCAATATCCATAAAATAATCCTCACAACAGCCTGGCTTCTCAGTTCTCCAACCCCCTCTCCTTCACTAATGCCGTCCTCTACACTTCTAAAGTCACACTTCCATCATAATGCCCAGACCTTTTCATTGCCAAACCCTCCATAATCTCAACTCTTTAACTCTGACTTCCATCTTCTATATTCCAACTTTTGCTCTATGGTATCCTAATTAGGATAATTTTTCATCCCAACTGAACCTACAGATCATTGATCTTGCCATGTTTTCACTGCTCTTCATCCCTGCATACCCTCACTTCCTAGCACAACTATTTGTTATAATCATCCCATTCATACATCCTCAGCTTACTTGCTCCTTTCTCACCTGGCTTAACCATAGCCATTTCTCAGCATATACTCCATTTCTATACAGTACACAGGTAAACATACTGGAGAAAATCATACCAACCATACTAACTGGTCTCACTTTAAAGTCATGATCACTAACCTCAAGCAGGCCAAAATGCTACCTACACAATATATTTTTCTAGTCCAGCCATGGGCAAACTACGGCCTGCGGGCCGGATCCGGCCCGTTTGAAATGAATAAAACTAAAAAAAAAAAAAAAAAAAAAAAGACCGTACTCTTTTATGTAATGATGTTTACTTTGAATTTATATTAGTTCACACAAACACTCCATCCATGCTTTTGTTCCAGCCCTCTGGTCCAGTTTAAGAACCCACTGTGGCCCTCGAGTCAAAAAGTTTGCCCACCCCTGTTCTAGTCCATGTATTCTACTATTCTCCTAAATGACCATTTAATACTTTCTCCTTTCCTCAAATCTTTGATATGTCCTCTCCCATCCTTATTTTTAGTTGATAATCTTACGTTCTGTTCCACTAAAAAAAAAAAAAAAAAAAAAAGCCATTTTAAGAGAATTTCCACAAACTCCCACAGCATCTACACATCTACCTGCACCTGTGCCTATATACTCTAACTTGTTCCTGTTACTATAAATGAACAGCCTGCCTTCCTAGCAAATGCTAACCTCTCCACTTATACACTAAACCTCAGCTCCTCTGACCTACTCAAGTAGTGTTCCAGCAATTCTCTCCTTTCGCTTTTTCACCTTCAAGTTTCCATTTCTACGGAATCAACATCAGCCTAAGACATATACTCATCTTTAAAAAACTTTGTCCACCAGTTTCTCCATCAGTCACCACCCATTTCTCTTTTTTGCTTATAGCTAAACTATTTTATAAAGTTGTCTATACTTTTATTTCTATCCCCACCATGAAGAGGAATTACATACTATAACCTGTGTAACAGGATCACTTCAGTTCCTCTGTTAAGCACAGACTAGAAGAGAGTAAGTTAGGAGAGTATAGCAATGATCTAATTGAGAGATGATGATGTGACCAGGAAAAAAAAGTGTTGGTATTAAGAAGTGGTCAGATTCTAGATATCTTTTGAAGGTGGAAGACTTCTAGCTTGAGCACTTCAAATAAGGAATATGTAAGAATTTCCTAATTGGTTTCCCTGCCTCTATCTTTGTCACATTAGGTTTAGTCTAAGTCAGCGGTTCTCAAGATGTGGGTCGCGACCCCTTTTGGGGTCGAACGACCCTTTCATAGGGGTCGCCTAAGACCATCGGAAAACACCTATATAATTACATATTGTTTTTGTGATTAATCACTATGCTTTAATTATGTTCAATTTGTAACAATGAAATTGGGGGTCACCACAACATGAGGAACTGTATTAAAGGGTTGCGGCATTAGGAAGGTTGAAAACCATTGGTCTAAGTAGCAGTGAGAGTGATCCTATTAAAATGAGAATCAGATCATTTGATTCCTGTGCTTTGAAACAGCGGTCGCCAACCAGCGGTCTGCGGACCACTGGTGGTCCATGAGGTCTGAAAGGTTGGCAACCACTGCTCTAAAACATCCAAAGGCTCGTTTCACTCAGTTTGAGATGTCTGAGTTTGAGGTATCTATTATATAATCAAATGAAGATACTAAGTAGGTAGTTGGATATACAAGTCTGGATTATAGGAGAGAGGTCTAGTATACAATTTGGAAGTTATTGGCATATAGATGGTATTTAAAGCTGTGAGACAGGATAAGATCAACAAAAGAGTGACTGTAGACAGAGCACAGAGGAGGACCAAGGATTAAACCCTCTTAGTTAATAGGTACTTATTACAAATTTGTTGAATGAATGTTTGGGCAGAGACTAAAGAAGTTGGTCTGGATCTGAGGGAACAGCATTCCAGGCAGAGGGAATAGCAAGTGTAAGGCCATGAGTTAAGAATATATCCAACTCACTACAAGGAAGCTAGTATGGCTGGAACCAAGTAAGTTATAGACAGGGTGAGAAAAATTAGATGAGGTCAGAGGGCCAGATTATGTTGGGCCTTGTTAGCCAAGGAAAATACTTCAGCATTTATCCTGAATGGGTAAAAATCCACTGGAGAGTTTTAAGAAGTAACATAATTGATTACACAGAAAAAGCTTCAGCAAAAGAAAAACTAAGGTCTGCTTATTTCATACAGCAGAACAATATTTCAGGAAAAAACACCAACTCACCTGGTACATGGTTTTAAGGTCAAGAGCCATTCTATCCTTTTCTTGGCTCTTCTGTTGGGAAATGGCAGTGTTCTTAGATGACTAAGATGGAAAAGAGAACATGAGAAACTAGGTTTTTCTTGCAGCATCCAGAATCACCAGCCTAAGGTTTGAAGCTTCTCTCCTCCTGTAAAGAGAGGAGCTCCTGGCTAGCAAGGCTCAGTGGTTAAGCATGAACCTATGAACCAGGAAATCACAGTTTGATTCAGGGTCAGGGCACATGCCTAGGTTGTGGGCTGGATACCTGGTGTGGGGCATGTAGAGAGCAGCCAATCGATGATTCTCTCTCATCATTGATGTTTCTCTCTCTCCCCCTTCCTTCCTGAAATATATATATATATATATATATATATATATATATATATATAAATTATATATATATATTTATTTTAAAATTTATATATAATATATATATATATATTTTATTTTTTAAGAGAGGAGCACATGCAGCCACTGTGGAAAACAGTATGGAGTGTCCTCAAAAAATTAAAAATGGAACTCCCATTTGACCCAGTGATCCCACTTCTAGGAATATATCCCAAGAAACCAGAAACACCAATCAGAAAGGATATATGCATCCCTATGTTCATAGCAGCACAATTAACAATAGCTAAGATTTGGAAACAGCCTATGTGCCCATCAGCAAATGAGGGGATTAAAAAACTGTGGTACATCTACATGATGGAATACTATGCTGCTGTAAAAAGGAAGAAACTCCTAACATTTGCAACAGCATGGATGGACCTGGAGAGCATTATGCTAAGCAAAATAAGTCAGTCAGAGAAAGATAAGTATCACATGATCTCACTCATTTGTAGAATATAATGAACAACATAAACGGATGAACAAAAATAGATCCAGAGACATAGGAACATGAAACAGACTGTCAAACTCAGAGGGAAGGCAGGGGAGGGTGGTAGGGGAGGAAAGGGGTAAGAGATCAACCAAAGGACTTGTATACATTCATATAAGCATAACCAATGATCACAGACAGTAGGAAGGTGAGAGCATGTGCTGGGGGGGAGGAGGGGGGTGGGAGTGGCGGAGAAGAGGTCAAAGGGGGGAAAGGGAGACATATGTAATACTTTGAACAATAAAGAATTTAAATTTTAAAAAAGAAAGCATAATGGAAACCTGGGAATTTATTTGCATACCATTTAATTCATGCCTAAATCACTTCCTAGTATATTTTTTTAACAACAGATTTTTTAGACTTTATAAATAAAAACTCCGAGTAATATAATCATTTATAAAAGACAATACAACTAATAAATAACAACACCAAGATCAACTAAAGATCTTTCTGACTTCACGGTCCTCTTCAATAGATCAGTGGTGGCACACAGTCTCAATCTCCATAAATACTCACTGATTCTTAAAACGACAGCGTCAACCACCATTTCACAGACATCACAGTCAGAGGCCCCGGGTATGGACACAGTCTCGCCCTCTCTTCCATGCCCCCAGCCTCAAATACTCGGTGTTACAACCGACGGTCTCGCTCACGGCCCACACGGAGCCGAGGGTAGGGGAACCAGGGGGCAGAGAATACTCTCCCACCCCTGCTCACAGTCTCACTCCCCGTGACACCAACCTCGCACTTACTCGCACCCACAGTAACACAAATACATGTGTGCGGCACATCGAGTGACAGTCTCACACGGCACCATAGCGACAACCACGTCACACAGAGGAGCCCCGGCCCCGCGGCCCAAGACTCACAGGCCACTCCTCAGCCCACTCCCTACCTGCGGAACTGAACGGGGGGAAGATACGGTCCTCGCCCCCAAGGCTCCGGCAATTTCTACTAGGGCCCACCTACAGCCCTGAGTGCCTGATGGAGCCCGGCCCCCGAGGCCGGGGAAAGAAGGGACAAAAGAGCCACCGACTGATGCACGCGGTGTCCACTGGGAAATGTAGTCCAGACCAGGAAAAAAACCGTAGCCACAGAATCCAACTGCGTCCTCACTAAGGGTTGCAAACGCCACCCCCTCTGCCACAGGTTCCCACGCGGGCCTCTTCCAGATCTTCCAAAAGAAGCCCCAAGTCCCTATTCCTCTTAGCTCTGGGCCTGGGTCCGCAACAGGGACGGAGCCAAGTTTCACACTAGATGGCCTAAGATTAAAGTGTGCGGGCGACCGGTTCACAACCCTTAGCGACCAGGGCTGAAGAATTTAGAGCCCGAGATTAGCCGAAGGCGCAGGGTTTGTGTAGGCTGGATCTAGTGCAGTGATGGCGAACCTATGACACGCGCGTCAGAGGTGACACGTGAACTCATTTTTTTTTTTGGCTGATTTTTCTTTGTTAAATGGCATTTAAATATATAAAATAAATATCAAAAATATAAATATTTGTTTTACTATGGTTGCAAATTTCAAAAAATTTCTATATGTGACACGGCACCAGAGTTAAGTTAGGGTTTTTCAACCAAAAACCCCTATCATAAGAATCAGTGAGTATTTAGTTGATCTTGGTGGTGTTATTTATTAGTTGTATTGTCTTTTATGCCATCACTGATAGTGCATGTGTCTACACAAAGTGGGAAAAGGGATAGTTCCTAGAATTCCGTAAGGGTATCCCCCAAAAGTAGGTGTGTGGGGGGGAGTAGGGACTGCAGTGATGGCGAACCTTGTGAGCTCGGCGTGTCAGCATTTTGAAAAACCCTAACTTAACTCTGGTGCCATGTCACATATAGAAATTTTTTGATATTTGCAACCATAGTAAAAGAAAGACATATTTTTGATAATTATTTTATATATTTAAATGCCATTTAACAAAGAAAAATCAACCAAAAAATGAGTTCGCATGTCACCTCTGACATGCGTGTCATAGGTTCACCATCACTGGACTAGAGTGTACAGGCATATTATACTTCCTCCCAGTCCCTAGGGCAGGGGTGGGCAACCCCTGGCACGCGTGCCAAACATGGCACGCCAGTAACTTTTGCTGGCATGCGAAACCCTCTCTTATAATCTTCCATTTACAATTGTGAATCTTTGTTCTCAGTGATGAATTTTGTTAAGTCTTGTAATAGGAGTAGCCTGACGGATGAAAGTAGTAGCTCGTGCATATCTCTGAAGGTCACGAAATATAAACTTGATGTAAAATCTCTGTCATCAGTGATGCAGCAGCAAAAGTCCCACTGATAATATCAAACAGAATCATAAAGTTTTCTGTCGGACTATCATTGTACATGTATACATTAAAAAATAAATGTATTTTCATCATCATATATTGTGTTTTTGTCACTCAAATGAATTTTATTATTTCTTCAAGGTTCTTCACATACGTACACCTTAAGAGATATCAAGTAGGCGTAACATGTTCTCAAAAAATTAGGGTTGGCACGCAGAAAAATTTTGAGTCAGAGATTTTGCTGGTTTGGGCACGCACTCACAAAAAGGTTGCCCACCCCTGCCTTAGGGCATTCTAGTTCAGGGAACAACTTACCTTGCAGATGGGGGTGGGTGGGACGAGAGTGGGGATAGGGTAGAACGCATAACCGTTTGCATATGGTTCTGCTATTTGTGATTTAGTGATGATGGGATTGAATGTGACCCCTCTTCTAATATGGGCCTTCTGTTAGGTATCTTCAGATTTCCCTTACTCCCTACATTCAGATAAAAATGTCACATTTCCAAAGAGGCTTTACCTGATCACAGCTCTCTCGGCACTCCATGGCTCCTTAATGTAACTAACTGTATACCCCATTAGAACAATAGTGTTTATATTTTATGTTTCTTATTTGTTTATTGTCTAGACACGAGTTTCTGTCACCAGACTGTGATTTTGAGAGTTGGTGCAAATACCCTTTGATTCTGTCATTGTGTGTGTATGTGTGTGTTTCTATGAGAGTACCTATATAAAACTCTATGTGCTGAGGTGGGCATGCTGTGTTTCGGTGACCATGTGATAGTGTGTTTGAGATTTGTGATGTTACCTCTGAGAATCTGCTGTAATAGAAACGAACATACTGGTGGAGCTTGGAGCAGGAGTGTGATATGATGGTGTGTGAGAGACCATGAGGATTAGACGAATAGATGTCTGTCTGTGTGTGGAATTCTTCCCTATGGTATCTGATTAGAAAGCACCCACAGTGTGCCAGATGCTCTTTGAGGTGCTCAGATAGATACAGAGAAAACAAACTTTAAAAATTTTCAAACAGAATATTAATGAATGGAGGTGCAACCTCAAGAGACATATTAATATATGTGTAATTGGTTAACAAATAGAAATCTCAATCCATAGAAGGGAAATAAGAGTACTAGAGACAGGAAATATATGGTAAACATGTAAGACTTTTTTTTTTATTATTAAAACCTCAACAAATGAGGTTTAAATAATAAATACAAAATTAACACCTGAAATTCTATTGTTAGGATATATCACATATGGAAGCAAATTGTATGAAAAAAATAGCAGAAAGGCCAGGAGAAGAGAAGTAAATTGAAATAAACTATTGTAAGTTCCTATATTCTATGTGAAGTAATATAATATCACTTGAACAGAATCCCAGCAACAACACAGCGCCGGTAACTAACTATTACACAGCCAGCTCTGGGCAGTGAACTTCCACTGGACAGAGAGGCCCTATAGCCTCAGAGGCCAACCCCAGAACACTGCCACCCAGAGGCTGACCCACAAACTGACTCTGCTAAACACAAAATAAGGCAGTCTGGGAAACAAATGTGGCTTGCTTTAAAATAAGGACTGTGGTTTACAACACAGAGGAACAGTGTATCGCAGGGAAACTCAACACTATCCTGAATACCTGGCAGGTCTAAGGCGAGCCACACTGAAGAATAGAAGAACCGAAGGACCTTCACTACTGCAATTTTTTTTTTCTTTTTTCACCTTTTAACTAAGAAACCAATTTTTTTTCTTTTTTTTTCTCTTCTTTTTCCATCACCTGATTTTACCCTTTTAATTACTACCTTCTTATTTTTAACAAGTATTATTACTGCTACCATTTTACCATTTTTCTTAAAGTGCCATTTTACTTTCTCTTTATATTATTTTGGGATTAGTGTTCTCCATTCTATTTTCATCGTTATATTATTGGTTGTTTCTAGTTTGCATTCATCTCCAGGTAGCTGTTGCTGGAATTTGTTGGGATTAATGGCTGTTCTATAGGAGTATTCTCCTTATATAAAAAAGTCTCTTCCCCTCTTCCACTTCATTCTCTCTTTTCGCTCTTTTTTTTTTCTTTTCTTTTCTTTTCTCGCTTTTATTTTCCCCCCTCCTTTTTCCCAATTACATTTTTGCACTCCTTTTTTTGGTCCCTACCTTTCTTTTCTTTTTTCTCTTTTATCTTTTTCTCTTCCTTCTTCCTTATCCCCTAATTCTCTTAATTCAGGTGGTCACCTTTATTTGGGGTTATTAATATTGTGAATATATTTGTGTATAGTGCCTGGTACTTGGTGCCTTGTTGTGTTGTATTTTGTGCCTTTAAATCAACGCAGCAGATCCAAGCAACAGCAACCTCCTGAGCACCACACCCTCTGCTGAGGAACAGCAGCTGTACGTGAAACCTTGCCCCACCAGCCAGAAGAGCCATCACAGCTGTGAACAGCACCCACCAAAGGAGCTTCTGCCAACTGAAGAGCAGCTGCTACCGCAACCGCCCGGAGAGCAACCACAGACCAAGGAGTCACTGCCACCAAGGGAGCAACCACTGAATGACTAAATGTCTAGATATGTCAGTGAGATCAAACATGGGTAGACAAAGAAACCCCCAAAGGAAAGAGAAGGAGGACTCTCCAGAAAAGCAGCTAAGTAATACAGAGGCATGCAACATGACAGAAAAAGAATTCAGAATAAGGGTCCTAGAGTGCATAAACCAGATGGAGGAAAAAAAATCGACCACCTCTGCAAGAAGCAAGAAGAAACAGATGAAAAAATCAACAACTTAAGTAAGACCCAAGAAGAAATGAAGAGTGATATAGCTGCAATGAAACTCCATTGAAAGTATCAACAGTAGACTAGGAGAAGCGGAGGACCGAATTAGTGAATTAGAAGACAAGGAAGCAAAACACATCCAAAATGTACTGCAATTGGAGAAAAAAATTAAAAGACAGGAGGAGAGCCTAAGGGAGCTTTGGGACAACATGAAACGAAACAACATACGAATAATAGGGGTACCAGAACAACAGAAGGATGAACAAGGATTAGAAAACCTATTAGGAGAAATAATATCAGAAAACTTCCCTGAGGTGGGGAAGAAAAAAGTCACACAAGCCCAGAGAGTCCCAAACAAGGTGAACCCGAAAAGACCCACACCAAGACACATCATAATTACCATGGCAAATGTTCAGGACAAAGAGAGAATCTTAGAGGCTGCAAGAGAGAGATGGAAAGTTACATACAAGGGATCTCCCATTAGATTGTCAAATGATTTCTCAACAGAAACACATCAGGCCAGAAAAGAATGGACGGAAATTTACAAAGTGATGCAAAGCAAAGGACTGAATCCAAGAATACTCTATCCAGCAAGGCTATCATTCAAACTTGAAGGGGAAATAAGAAGCTTCACAGACAAAAAAAGGCTAAGGGAGTTTATCACCACCAAGCCAGCAATGCAAGGACTGCTAAAGGGACTGGTATAAAAAGAAGAAATAAAAAGCTCAGAAAGAAAACAGCCACACAAAAACAGAAATGGCTACAAACAAGTACCTTTCAATAATAACTTTAAATGTAAACGGACTAAATGCTCCAAACAAAAGACATCGAGTGGCTGAATGGATAAAAACACATGACCCATACATCAGCTGTCTACAAGAAACCCACCTCATTAGAAAGGACTCACACAGATTGAAAGTGAAAGGATGGAAAAATATCTTTCAGGCAAAT